ATTGGCAAAAAAAACACGTCAAATCACAACAAATGCAGTTTACTCATGAAATCTGGAGGTGTCTGCAAAAGCTAACGGGGCACGCGAGTTCGTAAACACCGCAAACCGCAAAGTTGGCAACCTGTGGCCGATGGTCCATGTAGGTCATGCTTAAATAGCGCCACCTTTGGAACCCTGCACTCCAGAAAAATGAGAAAAAACCAGAAAACAAAGCTTCCATTCTAAGCTTTTCGGGGAGAGCTTAACAGTAGCTCAATCCCAGCTCAATCGCCTGGTACACACACAGGATTTGTAGGATATTCGATATTCAAGTCCGCCTGAAATGAAAATCAAAGAAAAAGTGATTAAAAGGGCATAAATAGCAAAGAAGATTATAGGACAGGAATGCTGCGAGCTGCAAGTTCCCCGCGCGCGCAGCGTACTGTAGAGCTGGAAAGGTTCCATAAACGCACACGCGCGTTGGTGTAATTACACGAGTCGGGGCAGTCGTCAACGAATATCCTTTATTCGATCTGTTTATACTAGAGGGTAGCAGAAACATTTGCGTGCGTATAATCAGAACATTGAGGCTTCAGGATATGAAGCTTTCTGTTAAGCTACGTTCTCCTTCCCAGCATTTATTACATGCGATCCTAACAAAAAGTGACCGCTCAGAATGAGTCGTACACTGCTGGACAGGACGTTGAGTTGATCTTAGACAGTGTTTCACGTTTTCACTTCATCTGAATTCACTATCTAGAGAGGGGGTTCCTAAATTTTGTTCAAACTTAGTACTCGGTCAGAAATTGATTGAAGCACGCACGTAATGGACACGACGATAAAAAGCACAATGCTCAATCAGGCTGATCACATCGATCCAGCTGCTCCGAGGTGGCAAGGTCCTATGCGCAGTCCAAACAATATTTCTAGTGCTGCACTTTCATCAAAAGACAATGAATAGTGTAAGCATCACCAACTTAAAGGCAGTGTCCGAGCAAAAAGTCGATCGAGACTTTGTGCTTATCTGGGCCTATTCGCTATGCTGAAGCCGAAAATCAAAACTGAAGAGCTCGAAAACGGCGAAAAAGGGTTCTAACGCAGGAGGGAAATCGCAGGTGGGCGGTGCTGTTCAAACTGTGACGCCACTCTCCCAGCCTCAGAAGCGATCTTTCCGCTTCCGCTAGTCTTCCTAACATCGCCACCAGCCAACTGCGACCGTGTGACTCAACAGTGGGACCGAAAAGATCGCTCCTAAGACTGGGAGAGTGGCGTCACAGTTTGAACAGCGCCGCCACCTGCGATTTCCCTCATGCGCTAGAGCCCTTTTTCGCCGTTTTCGAACTTTTCAGTGTTGATTTTCGGCTTCAGCATGGCAAATGACCCAGATAAGCACAAAGTTTCAATCGACTTTTTGCTCGGGCACTCCCTTTAACCATTCATCTCTAGATTTTCTTCATAAATCAATGACGCGCTAATAATCTGGTGAAGTCCTTAATTCTTTGGATGGAATTGGACACAATGAAATGCTCAGTAGTTTACCTAGCTGATCGAATAATGAAAGAATCATCAAACGATTACGGTAACTACATATATTAGGTTGGCACGAAAGTTCTTGCGCACGATTTTTAAAAATTCATAACTTCTGATTCTCCAACCGATTTGACTGCATTTATTTTTGTATGAAGGAGTAATTCATGCTTTTTATAATGACATCTTAGTTGCTTGCGAGTGATCATCCGTTGCATAAATAGGAGCGATAGAAGAAAATTAGTCAAAATTCGAATTTTCTGTGTAAGGTCATAAGAAATCGGAAACTTGCAACAAAAATCGGAGCAGTCAGAATTATAGGTTCTTTCACCAGCTGTTTCTAACTGTGCAAAGTTTGCGCTGATTGAGCGTCTCTATGAAAAGATTTTCGAGCAAGCAATATGAAAGGGCGAATTTGATTTATTTTGACATTTTTCAGGAAAATCGTTACTTTTCATAGAAAAACTCAATCGGCGCAAACTTTGCACAATTAGAAATAGCTGGTGAAAGAACCTATAATACTGACTGCTCCGATTTTTGTTGCAAGTTCCGATTTCTTATGACCTTGCACAGAAAATTCGAATTTTGACTAATTTTTTTCTATCGCGCCTATCTATGCAACAAATGAGCAATAGTAAGCAAATAAGATGTCGCTATAAAGAGCATGAATTACTCTTTCATACAAAAATAAAGGCTTTCAAATCGGTTGGAGAAACCAGAAGTTATGAATTTTTAAAAATCGTGCGCAAGAACTTTCGTGCCAACCTAATATATACACTCGACTGTGAGAACGTATGCTTGATACCAAGCACCTAAAAAAACTGTATGAGGACAGGCGAGACAGGCGAGAAACTCACGGAAATGGGATTTGATACAACAGCAGAAGACTAGGGTTCAATTTACAATCTTAAGAGAAGAGTAAATCGATACAAAGCAAACACAGTACATAAACACATCACTCCCCAACATTTCCCCCTTTAAGTTTCTCATTGTATCGCTTTTTCAAAGAATCCAACTTGAGACGGCCTGGTGGTTGATGGCTCCTTTGCAACTTGCGGAGAGCATGCGACGGTACGGTGGAGTGGTGAAGTCTCTACGTCCCTAGGTTCGGCTTGGTTGGCACATCAGGAATTGAGGTGTCACATTTTTGAGGTTGGCAGGCGAGAAACTCATGAAACGGAATTTGAAACAACAGCAAAACATTAGAATTCATTTTACAATACAAAGATAAGAATGAAAGATACAAAGCAAATACAGTAGATAAACACATCACTCCCCAACGCATTTTAAAACAGGTTTAATCGCAAAGACTGCAACATGATCCCAATGTGCATATATTGCTTTAAAGCTCGACAAGTCATACGCAACATGTTACTTATCCAGTGCTAACAACGGAATGATATCGAATTGCTTTGGTGTTCAGCAAGGAGATATATCTACATCGTCAAGTCCCTTTTGGTACACTAAAAACATATCTCTTTCCAAATCTGCGAGGCGGTTTTGTGAGAGGTACTACGAATCTTCAATCTACAGGTGTTGTTCAGTCTACAATCTCAAGTACCTGCAATGATGCTTCATTGTTGCAAAAACTGATAGCGGTTGGGAATGCAGTCGGCTTCCAGTCATAAGTCGGTGCCAAGATAAACGAATGGTTTTTTACAGCGCCCAGTTGATCGTAAGACACTACATTTGCACCATGGGTAGTTTACAATATTCCTGATAAACAAAGAGTGCAAAATTCTGAAAATTGTAGTTTCTATTCCGGAATGTGCTGATTTCCAGACTATCGCCAAATAGGCTCGGTTAATTCCATAAGAATCTGAAAGCCCACATAGGTTTTGAGTCTCTTTGGCTTCGACTGTTTGTGCGCTCATGGTCTATCAAGGAGTCAAGAGACCAAACCAAACGTTGCCTCTTTTTTTTTCGGGGCCATAATTAGAACCAATTCAATGAACTTTAGTAGGTAACTGCTCTAATTCGCAATTGAACGGGTGTTCAAAGATGGTAATATTAAAATATGACGTAAAGTTTTTTTCTCTTTTCTATGTCCGATCTGCTGCTGCAGGTAGAGGCATAGAGACATAGACGGAGTATTGCCAATGACCTTAATATAGTTACCTTGTAAGCTGAAGTGGTGTTTTCAAATTTTTTCCTGTTAAAATTCCGTACATTGAGCGCGGTTCTGGAACCAAGTATTACTTCCTCTTTGTAATTTTGTAGCCCCATGTTTCATAATACGTCAAAGCGGATCTCGGAACAACTCAAGTCGATGGGATTCTGCTTTTCGAAACGCTTAATATCTTTGACGCGAGTGCATGATCTATGCTACTGTTTGGGCGGCGTTAATCAAATTGAATCGGTTTACTTGTGCGAGCCTCATGTGTCAGATTCCTTTGGACGCTGCCCTTAAGCGATTTCATATATCAATTTCAGGCCTGGTTCCACATGGAGATTCATCAGTTTATACGTATAAAAGATCGAAATACGGTCGAGCTTTGCTTTATGTTCGTTTTTCTGACGAGTATTCCTATTACCGTCATGGTTGTAGTCATCGTTCTTACGGAGTCTCCTCCTAAAATGACTAAAGCGTACAAGTCGATCATCATAAACTATACAGTTGGTACATAAGCTTTGCACATTGGCCAGGGTATGACCGCTATTTTTTAGCTCACCTCTCTCTTCACTGGTGTAATTATTTGTTTTTTGTTCGACCCTATTCCGCTGTTTCCAGCAGTCGCTTGCTACTCAAAAACATGGTTGGCTAATGTTGATGAGGATGCTAATTACATACTGCTGGTTAGTTCATGTTTGAATTACCGAGATTATTACAAGTGAACAAGGTTTCATTACAACATCTCCGGACAGCTTTTATATCAGAAGTAACATAGCTGCAAAAACACTTGTTGATCGTTTATAACTGCCTATTTGCAAAGACTGATGAAGGAATACGGAATGCATTTGTTTAAAATGCACAAAATGACGAGATAATTTTAACAACTCGGAGTATTGGGAAGAATCACGGATGAAATTATGGCTTTATGAGTGTCCACAATGCCGCATAAGGAAACATTTGTTGATGCTCACTCTTGTCAGCACTCCAGCCAAAGGGTTTGAATCTAAAGAACTTGCAGTTTCGTCTCAATCTTTTCATCCACATATCTTACCCTTAGTGCCCTGAATGTGGTCCAAAATCTAGACTTTGCTTATTTTAAGCACAATAAGTGACTCGCCATTAACTCCACCACTTCAACCCTTATAAATGCAAATTAAACGATGAATCAATCGGAGCGGAAAATCTCGAAGGTGTGAAAAATTTAGCTTCGATGTCTGGCTATTTTCTAATAAGAACCAGTTGGTCGGAGAATACAATCTCTTCATTTTTCGTTATTTTTTTTGCTATACCTACCTCCAAATCACTGAATCTTTTGCATGTTTTAGTGCGTATCTCTGATTATGCTACAGCTCACATTGAGCAGCACACTAGTTGCTTTTCTTTATCGATTGAGATCGCTACTGATTCTCTCCGTATCATATTCGCAATTCAACTTCATGTACGCTTTCGGTGCTGTATATTCCATGGCGTTAGCGCCAGTCGTTGCTATTCTTATCACTCTCCACAAACCTCGATCTGAAATGCTGGACGTTATTCACGTAAGAATAGATGAGATCGCTATTACAAAGCACGCTACAATTTTTAGAAAACACCGCAAATGGAGTTTCTTAAAAACTACACATCCTACTTGGTCACATCCGCTGATGACCCAGAATTTACTATTTTTGGGATCATCTGGCTATGTTCTGCCTTTGCTATAGTAGCGAGCTGTATTCTGGTGGCACTCATGATAGCAGTGTTTCTTTATCATAAGAAACTCTGCATAAGTCCCGAGTGTTTTGCGTTGCAACGCTCGTTTTTGATACAACTAACACTACAGGTAGATCTCTTGCTCAAATTGGAAAGAACAAGCGTTTACAGAATAGCAGTTAATTTTTCAAACTACACGCTACCTGTTTATGTCCCCCGCAGTCCCGATACCTTGAACAAAGCAGAGATCGGCTCTGATTAGACTGCAGGACTTATCTCTGTTTTTCAATGCTTCATCGCAGTATAAGCGCTTCGTTAGCGCGTCAACAAGAGCTTGGTTAGCTGACGTATGAATCACGATAGACAAGCAGACATACTTAGCTGATAGTATTGTCCGGGCAAGGTTGGAGTTGAGATGGCGTTATGTGAAAGTGGACGCCCTCGCAGACGCCATCGCAGAATTGCAAAACCAAACGTCAGACCAAAAGTGAGAAATCCGCTTCAAAAGTTAAGAAATTTATGACTAGTGTTGCGGAGAAAACTAGCCCTCCTGCAATTTTCCCCTCAGCGAGGAGTTGCGCAGGCCGCCACTGGATACGCATACGTGCACAAAGACATAAGGCGTACGCCGCGCAGTCATTCCAACCCATAGTTGAATTTATAGAGTTTTACAGCGGTTTCCAAGCCTTAGCATATACTGCTCCGCACGTCCTTCAGATGTTTTGGAAGAAGCTTGCTTTCGCAGCCTTTCTAAGTTGAATTTTCGGATACAGCGTGCTGGGTAAGCTCAGATGAGTGGAGAACTAGAGGTTGAGTTTTTGCTCAACAGTGCTTTTGGCCTTGGGCAGAGTTCATGCGATTTGATCGTCGCGACTCAATCGCTACAAGACAAGTGCTACGAGTTCACTGCATGCCGATCTTCTTGTATTTTGGTTGTGATAGTTAGTCACGATTAGTCGTGTTGGAAAACTATCACAACCGAAATGCGAGAAGATTGGCATGCATTAAACTCCTAACACTTGTATTGTAGCGATATTGAATCGCGACGATCAAATCGCTCAACTCTGTCCGAGGCCTTTGAAGGAAACGAATATGAATAATTGTGCATTGAATGCTAAAACTTATCGACTGTTCTTTGCGGAATCATGCAGTTAAGGACTCGTCCTAGAAGAATGTTAAGCAGGGAATTTTCCGCTTACCTGGGCTGTCCCGTCCCGCTGGCTCTGAAAATGTAGCTTGAAAAACGTAGATTGACGAAAACGGCCGCAAGAGTGGAGGCGAAGAATCGTTGTGGATTCCTTTGTTCATAACTTCTTGCAGTCAGAATTAGCCGGATGGTTGGATGGAATGGAAGGCAGGATCCGGAAGAATTCACGAGCGATTTCTATGGCGTAGAGGAACGACTACAGAGTATGCCTCAACCAGATTCTCATGAGTACCACCGGGGCGGATGCGCAGCGCGCTCCCTTTCTACCGTCTTGCGCCTCGGTGGTGAGGGTAAGGCATTGTTCAAGCAGGAAAAGGAGTAAAAAGGGAAGGCAGACTTCTTAACCCATTTTCAATTAACCCCTACAAGAGTAGAGCTTGTACCCTTTTTAGATTGTGATTCCATCAGTGGAGATTAAAGGCAGGCAAATCTGGACGTATGGGGATCTCACGTGGATAGTAATTGTGGGGCCCTAATTAAGTCACTGCTCAACCGGCATCTGCTCTAACAGCTGAGATATTCCCCTCGAAACTGGACCCCAGAATCGCAATTCGCATGGATGGCGCAACCCATCAGTTTCGCGTGGGTCCTCGTTCAAAACTGATGGGTTGCGCCATGAATCCATACGAAACACGATCCTGGAATCTAGTAGGCATATATCTCAGCCGTTACTGAGTCACCTGCGCTTCCGCTTTGGCAGTGCCTTAGTTAGGGCCCCAAAACTACTTTCCATGTAAGTTCCCCATAGGTCCAGATTTGCCTGGACGCTGCCTTTAAATTTTTAAGTCAAACCTTGGTGGATGCCATAGCAGTAATAGCTTTTGAAGGACGAAAGAGTTGTTTTCTTGACCTTTCAATTTAATGAACATAGCCGATCAAACATTTTAGCCCTGGTACAAGCGTATTTACAGAGCTTATCAAATGAAGTGTGGCCTGCCCCAGCATCTCCACTCCCGCGCTGAACTCTGCGTCTCTTCCGCGGAACATGCTCTCTGAGCACTTTCCCAAGGCGAGCGTGGGAAAGGCGGAGCCTCAATTATTGGAAGTAACTAAGGATCATGTTTTGCGGAAGAAACACAGAGTCCAGCGCAGGAGTGGAGATGCTGGGGCAAGCGACACTTCATTTGATAAGCCCTGTACAAGGAACTTTAAATCCTTCAAAAACCATTCACATTTACACTGAAGCATTGAAAAACGCAAAAAACGCACGCACGACTAGTAAACGCATAAACGACTAGTAGACGCCTGTTTTTAGCATGAGGAGCTTCAAGCAGAAGTTCTGCCTGAAGATTGCTTCTAAACTATTAGAGAACAAAAAAACGAGAAGATAAGGACGCTTTAGGGCACGTAAAAGTCTAATTGCCCACTGTCGTGGTTCGACCACATTCGAAACAGAGAATTTATGCGGCAACAACGCTAAACGAGAAAGAAAAGTGAAAGAAACCCTATTTAAGACGCAGAAAGAAAGCGCGTTGAAGGCAGCAGAAGCGTGTGCTGCGTCTGGCCGCGACACACACTATACCTTTATTAGCACCTCGTTCACGGAATGCTGGTCGCAACAAGATATGCAGAGGCGTCTGGGATGAACATAGATGAGAAGACGCGCTTCGTGTTAAGTTAGTGACGTAACGTCGTTGTAGAAACCTTACCTTAGAGAGGCATGAGCACTTAACTTTGGAGAAGAAGTCCCTAGTTGAATTATAGGCCTTGAAATATTTTGAAGCTCTTCGCGCTTCGAAACCTCTCTTGCGGTTAACTGGATTTTCGACGCGCTGAATTCACATACGAGCTTTGAACAGCTTAAGGACGACCAGAGGTGTTTCTTGCATCTTTGAAATAGAAGTTGGGCGGGAGTCCAAACAGGAAGGACGACATTTATTACGAAAACCTTGCATACTTTTTTTAAAGCCGACCTACTGATAATGCGCGAGTTGTCAGGATGGTGCCGCGCAGAATAGGTAAGTAAAGTTGTCAAAGCGCATGCCAAGCTCCCACTTTTCTATGCGACTACGATACACCGATGAGAGCTGGTCAGGAGACCACCGGATTACCAGTGTAATCATATCCAAAAAAGTTTATCTGCTGAGACACTGCCTCTAAGTACTTGCGCGGCTACAGAAGTTCACCCGCTCAGGTAGACCAAACGCCTGAGTTATCTAAGTGAGCGACATTCAGCAAGCTTTCCTAGATCTAGCATACGTGTAGGGCTTGGTACGTGTTCACGGTTATTATAGCACTACAGGACTTCCAGGCACCGAATAGTGAATCATGAAATGTTCCATTAATGTGACAAAAAAGTAGTTTATCAAATTAATCATATTGAACAGCGAATCTTCCGTGAGGTGAAACGAAGAGCACATTTTATAGTTCTTCTTCAGATACGTAATGATAACAGAGACGGATATTGAGGCAATTTTTTGAAAAAAAAATATAAACTCCTCACGTAATTACCACAATCTCCTAATTCCCTCGCTATCGTGGAGTAGCAAGATTAGCAAGGGTTCGCCTCGGCTGTACATGCTGTGGTTTGTTGTTGACAGAAATGACACAATTGAAATACACTTCGGTATTGTCCAATATATTGGTAATGTTTGTAGGCAAGTGCAGTGCATAACCATTCAATCTTTTGAGAAATTATACAAACTTCTTCGAACACATGCACCCAAGCAAAAAAGAAAACAACAAGAATACATGATAAACTCGTACCTGGGCTTTGCTCAACTCCAGTTTGAGTAAAGTGCAATAGCGCAAATTAGCTTCATGATCTACTCGAAGGAGCCAAGCAAATTAGCAAATTTTAGATCATAATGCCTGTAACAACTACTCTTATTCCCATGTTGGTACTGCTTTCCTCACGCCACTTTGATGTTCCATTTGGTTCACAGTGTAAGAGTAATCGCTGTTACAGTCAGCATTAGAAATTGTTCAATTGTTCATTTAGTTTGGAATCTGATCATTGCACAAGCAATATCCATGCACAGTCCGCTCACTACCATCTCCGTTCTACTCTCGACACGACACTATCGCGTTGCAATGTTGCAGATGTTCAGAAGAGTTCTGAAACACTTTGTAAAGCCAAACGTGGCTTCCAGTAGGGATGCTCCTAACACTGCTCGTGTACGCATATTTGTCTCAAATAGACAAAATAGAAGTCCCAATTAAGTAGTGAACAGTCAGTGATATTTAGTGCAAGTGCCCATCTATAGAGGCTTTTCCAGGCGTCAAAACGACAATTCTATATATGATGTTGAGTGTTTCAAAAAGCATAAAGTTTTCATTCTAATTCCGTCTATCTTTCTATCTGCAAAGCGCCTTTAAAAGAAGTCAAGAGAGATTATAAGGCAAAATCCAAAAACCCTACTATAATCGTGTTGCTTATATTCTATTCGACTAGCTATAATCCGAATAAGTCCAAAGCATTCAGTTCAATTTTCGCAACACGAAAAAAGGAGCAGCAATTTTGTCGTTCTTATCAGTTTACTAGAACAATGCGACCGTGAAAAAAAGGAAACAAGCATTGACAGTGACTACATGGGATCGTAGAGAACGCCAGGTAGGACAAGGAACAACATCTTTTGCTTATCTGCTAGAGGGCGTAGACTCGCATAAAGATGAATGAGCAACGAAAAGCACAAAACACTAAGGTGGGATCAGGGTCCAGCACAAGAGTGCCAAATGGACGTTGCTGAAACGACTTCGCTTTTGCCACCATCGATTTGCAATATTTCCCACTTGGCCCCGCCAGCTGCGTAGGTTGCTCGATTGGAGCGCGCTTTCTCCTCCGAAGTTACTAGCGTCGCTGCTATTCCGGATCCTAACAGAGAGGAGAGAGAGAGCTTTGGAACCAGAGTGTCACTACATACTAAGCTTTAGGTGTAGAACGGATTCGAAAAATTTCGAAAAATATATGTGAAATGGAGGTTTTGCCTACCTCAGGTGGGCATTAGGTGGGCAAGTGCCCACCTAATTTGGAAAGAAAGGAGCGCGCTCTTTATTCGCATGAGTTATAAATCTCTATACTTCGTTTTTTAGTCCAACTGCGAGTAACACACACCAAATTTTGTGCCATATCGTCTATGCATTGCAAACAAACGTGATAGTGAGAAATTTTCAAAAAGAAAGCTTGCCACAACCTTCAGTCACATAATTTTTCCACAATACTCTGCACTATGCACCTAGTCCATGTTCGTTTATACTCCAAATTCTTATTCGTCGTTATGTGTGCGCTGTAAACGACGCATCAATCACTATTCAAAAGAATGTAAGTTTGATTTTTGAAGGTGACGCGTGAGCAAGATTGTGTTTTTGCATGTCAGTCGTGTGGTATCTTGTTGAGAGAGTGTATGTACATATAACCGTCTGTTTATGATATCCCCTTTGCTTTCCATGTAAAGCGATTTCTTGACGTCAACAACCAGCTTCATAAAGCGACCACTTCCATCAAAGATATCATGATGCAACGAATTGCTTCAAAGTATTGGAAAAGTATGAGATCTTGTACCTTCTGGTAGTGCTCAATCAATACTTATAGCTTTTTAATTTCGTTAAAATTGCTAAAGATGTAATAAAACGTGATTCTAGTTCCATTATGGTTTCAAAGTCCGCTCCTAGAGAAGATTTCCTGCCAACCAAATGTTTAATATCTACGATTTTTTTTTGTTGACAATTTGACTTCTTTCGAACAGAACACCTTCAAGTACAGCAAAATATACATTTTTTAAATATATTATAAATATATTACAAATGTGAATGAGGCAAACTGAGCATTTTCAATCACGTTTGAGACAAGTTTCGCCTAAAATCTTAATGCAAAAACATGAAAGAATAATTGAAAAGAGGGGGAGCCTTCTCATAAGCGCAACTTACTCTTAGGGCCGCATGCGCTAACATTTCCGCTGGGGAGGGGATCGCAGCTTCAGAAGAAAGCTTTATATCCTGAAGCTCCGGATATCTGGATTTCACGCTGTCTTCCTGTCCGTAAGTACTCCCACCATCCTTCACTATGAACATATTGAGCAGAAGCGAGAAGCTGTACAAGCCCATTTCCCAGCTTTTTGTAGGATCCCCTGATGATCCCTGGGGGACGAACATCTACTCTTCAAAGTCATTTTTCTTTCTCTGAAGACAACGAAAACCTTCCAAAGTTATACTGAAATCTAACACAACAGTGCTAAGCATGTTGCTGATGAGAACAAATGAATTTTTGAAAAATCGAATTTTTCGGTATACCCCAAATTTCGACCTGTGGATCATCGAAAATTTCATGACTTCAAAACATCATTTGTTCTCATCAGCAACATGCTTGGCACTGTTGGGTTAGATAATCTGCACAACTTTGGAAGTTTTTCGTTAACTTCGGAGAAAGAAAAATGACTTTAAAGAAAAGCGCCGGGATCATCAGGGATCATACAAAAGCTAGAAAATGCGGTTTGTACAGCTTCTCGCTCCTGTTCAACATGTTCATAGTGAAGGGTAGTAGGAATACTTACGGATAGGTACACAACGTGAAATCCAGATATCTGGAGTTTCGAAATATAAAGCTTTCTTTTAAGCTGCGATCCCCTCCCCGCGGGGATGTTCGTGCATGCGGCCCTTAGGCTAACTAATCGGGGAGGGGGAGGGTTTCCGCGCATTGCTTACGGTAGCCATACAAGCCATAGCTATAGCTAGATATAAGTAGCTTACAACAGTTTGGTCAGTCAAAGTCGCTATTAGACTAGCTGCTTGAAGATGAATGCAGTATAGATCACTGTTCTCATACTACCTCTTTTATCTGCTAAATGCCTTTGTAGACAACGTTATAGATCATTAGCCATACAAGCCACTGTCACTACGAAGAAAATGTGTAAAACATTGTACATTGTGTTAAAAGCGAAATCCGGACCTGCACATCCATGTTTGGCTTGATCCCGAAGCGGAACATGCAGAATGGTTGCTTCTAACTCCATGTCTAATGGCGAGATAGCGAGATAAAAGCCTCTAAATGTTTTCAGTTTGTATGTACAATTTCCTTACAATGAAACCGCTCATAACTTCGCACGGCAAGGCGTTTAGCGATCGGAAAGCAGAAGAAGAGTTAGGGTTAATTGATTAAGTGGTAAGCTTGTTGTTCGACTTCTGGCCCTTTCCTTTTTAATTTACTCCAAAGATGGTGCATTTACACGCTGAATATCGTCTTTTTATAGAAGCGAGTCCTAGAAAGAGGCTCGGCACAGGTGGCTCATAAGCAAGCTGGGTACCGCTTCTGGGACAGAAGCAAAGGATATCGTTTATATGGTCGAGATAACACAAAAATTGGGACTTTTTTACTCGACGTTTCGTTTTTTGAGGGCTTTTACGCTTAAGGTTCAGGATCAAAGGGGATTTGTAAAATCCTGCGAGAGTCAGGGGGGTTTTCGCCTTTTCGGAAAGCCACCTCATGCCGAGTCCTGTCTAGAAACAATCTGCTGGTAATTGTTGTCAGAAAATGATGCGCTTTTTATTCGCTTGCTAACGCAAATAGCTGAACTTCAAAAATGCACGAGAGATACTGTTCGACAGAGCATTATAAATCCAAAATCAAAATGGCTGTAAATGCATGAATAATCGAAAAATTGTATCTCCTTCTGAAAGGGATTTTACGAGTTTTTTCCTCAAGCATTTACTCTTTACATCTGCTATTCATGTGCAGATTTGTTTATTTTTTCTCGAAAACATACATATACTAAGATGAACCAAAAAATCGAGAAAATCACCTTTTTCGGATATTTTGCGATAAAGTGAATATTTCTCAAAAACTATCGCTGTAGAAAGCCAAAAATTCATGGTTTTGTAAAGGTTCGTAGTGTAGAATTGCCTATGTGGGAGCAACCCAGCGCAGCCTTAATAAAAACCATGAAAATTATTTTTTTTCCAGCTCTAGCCGTGGAAAATAAGCAAATCAACATATGTATAGATGCCAGGTGTAGAGAGTATATTCCTAAGAAGAAAAGAAGCTCGTAGGACTTTTTAGACGGAGATATAATTTTCTGATTTCTCATGCGTTTGAGCTTTTTCATATTTTAGCTTTACGTGGAATAAACTTTGAGCAATAGGCCATCTTGTAGAGCTTGCTTTGGTCTATCGAAGAGTGCCCCCAAGTATTTTTGAGGTTCGTTTGTTGCGGTGTCATAGCAAGCCTGGCAACCTAATATATTGCAAGTGCAACTTCAATTCTAGCAGCCTGGACAACTTAAATCTTCAGTGTCGTCTCATCAAATTTCAAGAAAAATCAAAATAACGAAAATTCGGCAACTTCCACCAAGCCCGTGTGCATTTGTCCCTGTGTATAAGCATATTTGACGTGTTAGGATATGATTTTTTTTTGAAAAATATAAGGATTTGGTTTGTTCACGATGCAACGCACTTGGGCCACCTATCTGCTATGCAGCTCCGCAAATGATTTGAATGGAGTCAAAATTTTGAATCAATGATCTTTCAATTCTAAGTGGCTCTCGCGTCAGTTGGAAATTTGAGGTGGTTTCAGCAGATCATAAGTTTCCATTCCACAAAGCTCCTCCTTCTTACAGGGATATCTTAGCTTGAGCCGTAACTAACCTAAGCCCCAGCTCGTAGTGTTCTGTTCATATCTTACAATGGCTCCTTATCTTTTCGACACGGCAACTAGAACGCAGTTGAGATTGCTGCTTGTCCTACGTCAATGTTTCCACGAAGCTAGCAGACCTTGCCCACTTTTTTGCAACATTGTGGAGTTGAAATATTGTTCAAATAGATGCAAAACAGGCCGCTGTTTGCAGTGCGATGCCATTCTTCGCGAGGACAATGACGCAGATGTTTTGCCGCAAAGTGTATTGCGATCACTATCGATTCCAAGTTACGATGGGTAACACTCGTCTCGATGTTTGCCATGCAATTTCGCGCAAGATAGCACTTGATTAGATATTTGTTTCATTGAAAAAAGTTCTATTTTTTGATGTCCAGTTTTACTTCCTCGAATCCGCTCAAAAAATCAGTCATGAAGCGATTTTGGGCTTACTCAGGAGAAGCTTTGCAATCTTTCTTGAGCCCATCACATTCTCTATTAGTTTTAGTTATTATGTAAGCATGTAATAGTATGCTCTATGCATTATGTCAATCTCTCCGGTTTATAAGTCGAAACTTTGGGTGTCTCCACTAATTTTACAGGCGATTCATTGCACGCACGGACTGGACGCCATTACGTCCCATCAAGATAGTTCGACCATGGGAGAGGCAGCAGGCGGCAAGAGGAATGAAAGAGCGTTGTATTAGCGAGACGTCGGCAGCGTCCGTAATGACGCCTTGTCTTTGCATGAGATGAATCGCCTATACTATAGTTTCTGTTCGCTGGAAAGAATCAATTCGCTAAGTAGGAACGAAATTGATGATTCTTCGTACAAGTTTGGATATTAAGCACCGCTCTATCTACATATGTTTAGTACCACTCCTCACATCAAGATCTTTCGTTAGATAAGTGGTGCATAATAACAGAAACGTTATGGAGATGAATTTTACCCTATAATCTCCAATCCATGGCTTTCCGAAAGAACATGCTGCTAACAGTCACGATAAAAAAAACTTGCGAATTACTACTTTATTAACAAGCAGGCATCACCATCAGCAATTGAACGTTGCAAATTTGGCCATATCTATTAAAAGGAAGTCCTGATGAACTCCTTCTCAACTTTTATTTGCGCATGCCGTGCTATCCTTGTTTGTTCAGCTGTTATCGTTGACACTGCGCCAGTAATCGCGTTTTTCGCTTGCATCACCGCCTAAAACTTCCATTGCAAATGCAGTCCTCGCCTATTACCGCGGTCGAAGATGTTCACTGCTACCCCACAAAACTTTGCAGTCGAATTTATTACTTCTCTCTCCTTAATTGTGCGCTTTCGGTTCATAGTTCGCGCTAGAGAGAGTCACGAGAATTTTCAATAATTTCAGTAGTATAGATTTAACTTCAGTAATATAAGTTTTGCAGTATTATAGGTTTGAAATTGCACCAGTCATCCTTCCTTTCCCCTTATTTACTTATCAGCCTATTGGCTCTTCGTATGATGTACCAATCTATCTGAGCTGTAATGTTCAGTTTGATCAGCTTCGCCATTATTCTCATTTTGCTTCGTTTTCACTTTTTAGATGACCAGTGCAAATCAAACATCAATGTTTTCGCGCGAAACCTTTAGTAGATGTTTCGACTATAATGTTGCTTGAACGTAGCAGCTTTTCCCAGCTTTATTGTTTTGTTCTCGTAGTTCGACAGCATCTGGAATTTGATGCGCCACATGCTCCGTTTGAGAATAAATTGACCGCTCAAATACTTTAGGCGTTTCTCTTAATTTACTAGATTTGCCATCTTCATCTTCATTTTCCCTATCATTTTTTCAATCATCAAACAAGTGTGTTCGCGATCGTGGTTCATAAATTTCAGAGCACTTCAAAACACGTTTTGAAGACTTTTGGAAACTCTGGTCATATTGCTAAAAAAAACTCATGAACTCACGCAGTTTCTTGTTTTCTGGTAGTCGCGTAGATTTTCCTAACAGTGACATACGCAACCAGGTGCACAGTATGAGAACACAAATGTGATTTTCCTTGTACTGATACCGTGCTCTCATAATCCACATCAAGTCTTCCCACGTTGAACATACATGTAACTCCATAGATGTACATCATCACATTAAACATATACGTAAATTCATCAATATTGCGCTAAGCTTCCATTTTAATTCAGTAGCTAGCCGAATTAGAGTACTGTTAGGTCACTTCGAAAGATTTTGTTCCCCATCTCCTCTACCATGGAGAGCGAACTTTTGGCTTCCCGGATGTGTACTGAACAGCTTTGAGAGTTGCAATTCCACTAAAATAATTTTAGTTAAGATTAATCTGCTCAAAATTTCGTATTTTGGGTTTTGTGGTGGTCACAATGCCGCAGGACGGGCTGCAAAAATCATTTATGGTTGAGTCAATAAACCGAGTCATCTATTGATCTTCATGATTTGTACCCTAATTCTACGAGTACAAGGCGCACCTGGTTTATTCTAAGCTCGATAACCCTGAACACAATGAAAAATTTCGCAAACAAAGAACCTTTTACCGGGCTGCTCCTTACCTAAAAGAATTATGTGAGAGAGCAAATACCGCGAGGCACATTGGTGCGGTCGAGCTGCTTGCTTGGAAGAATGACGAAGGTGCGTCTTGTACTCGTGAAGTTAGGGTAAATGTAAAAATCAAAATCATCAAAATTGGTACCTAATTCTTCCGTTTCGAAAAAAAAAGTCGTTTTTAATGCGGTTAGTGAACAAGACTCAATCGCATCGTCACTAATGAGTAAAAAAAGCCGCAAATTCTAAACACTGTCCCTCGCCTTACACTTTGCTTCGTCTAACGTTTATCTTTTGCTACGACCTAGAAATGAAAATAGTCGAACGAAGGAAAATGGCGCACTGCAGCTTTCTATTAGGTTGTTGCAAAAATAATGTCCATTTTGCAAAGTTTTATTTTTAAAGGCTATAACATTGTCCAGTCTTCATTTTTTTGAATGCAATCAAAACCATATGAAGCAGTAGACCTTTCATAACCTATTGAGCACCTGCTTTTACTGATATCACAAACGGGAAGAAAACCATGCGTCAAAAAACCGGAAGTTTTTCTTTTGAAAACCTCGTCTTTGAGAAATTACAACTCTCTTCAAGTTTTGTTCCTTTGGCTGCTAACCAGCTTATTTTGTAGACTCAACCCGGAGTAGTTTGCTTAGAAAAGACTTCAAAGAACGAGTTCCGCGGAAAGAAAAGATAGAAATTTAAATTGTCCACTTTTTTGAGCCTATTTTTGGTACCAGAAAGTCCCTTCACACAGTGAATAGCTAAGTTTTTCTGCAAAAATTGTAGGCAAGATGTCCTCACCTCGAGTATACAAAAATGAGCGAAGCTTCGGCAATTGTCCTAATTATGAAAAACTTTGGAGCCATGGAATGCCAACGGCGAGTATCTATTTCTGGGCGTTAATTTCTCGGTTCAGATAATTTCGAAAAATCTATTTAAACATGCTATAGGTAAACAATACTCAACCAATACAGTAGCTAAATTTTTAGAAAGATTCGTTCATTTGCGCCTGAATTGTAGCCAAAGAAGTTTAAAAAACGAAATTTCGATTTTGAGAGCAGCTGTGTGAGATGCTGGTGACATTCTCACAAATGTGATAGAAGCTTAATTTCACAACTGTTAGAAAGTACATGAAGAAAGCTTTCCAATGATATACAGAATTCCTGTCGAAAAAGAAATTTTGGAGGAAATAAGTTGTTCGAAATATAGGCCTAGAAAAACGGACATTATTTTGCAACAGCCTAATAAATTCAATTTGGACAGTCAGTCCGAAGCCTTTAATCTCACTGTCAGACTCAAAATAGAGGAGGCAGTGCTATCTCAAGAGCGTTCAGAACCTTCTTTGCTCTCCCTACTGCAAAAATCCGTCTTCAAAAAAATGGTAGAGTAAAAAAACTCTTAGAGTTGTGAATATTTTTCGCTGTTGCTGCCATTTTTGTTATACAGTTTGGTGCACTTTCTTTCCTTCTTCTTCTTCTTCTTCTTCTTTTGTCGCTAAATTTCGCATTAGCGCTTCATTCCTCATGAAATAGGCCTACCTTTGATGCTTTAGGGATGACACTCACGGGACAGGTTGCTGTGGTGACTGGTGCGTCGAGGGGAATCGGTAAGTCAATTATCACAATGGCCATTAGAGAATCGTGAGAAAAGCACTCTTGTTATTTTGTAATTGAAACTGCCAAAATGGTATTTTGCTAATTGTGTTCTTGCTTTTTTTTTCGATAAAAATGGTGGACGACTACTGCCAAAATGGTATTTTGCTAATTGTGTTTTTGCTTTTTTTTCGATAAAAATGGTGGACAACTATCTTCAGGTCGTGGAATAGCGCTGCAGCTTGGCCGAGCTGGAGCTACCGTCTATGTGACTGGTAGAAAACCAGAACACAGTGATGCAGCCACCGAAAACTATCTACCAAATCTCGAGAAGACTGCTAAAGGTACATAATAATTTTTCGATTCATGTTATCAGATGAAGAGTCTTCGTAAATCTCCGGAGGCTAAAAATGTCCATTTTCAGAAATAACGGAACGTGGTGGCAAAGGAATTGCAGTCTATGTTGACCACTCCAATATGGAAGAAGTAAAGCAATTTTTCGAGAGAATTGAAAGGGATCATAATGGTCAATTGGACATTCTGGTCAACAATGCATACTCTGCTGTGAAGGTATGAAGTAATGAGCAATAGTAAACAAATATGGACACCTGCTAGGAGCATCTTAGGTCGCTTATGTAATCGATCTATACTGCTCCCAGCATTCCGTTCCATATCGAATAGGCACTTGACACTTACGGCATCGATATGGGTATTAAGTTACAGTTACAGAGAAGTAGGCGTGGATGTCATTTTCCTATTTTTGTTGGTGTGGTGTTTTGTACTGAGGCTTAATCTCTTGCAGGCACTTGTGGAAACGGCAGACAAGAAATTTTATGAGTGTCCTCCTGAAATGTGGGACGATGTCAACAATGTAGGACTGAGGTAAGTTTTTCTTCACTTTTATTGATATTTCACGGGTAAGTTACATTAGGCTGGTAACAAAACCTTTCGCAGTTTTTTCCACTGTTTTTTTTTTCGTGCGTATGCTTCTGAACTCTCATATTCTGCTCTATATCCTCCATGCTTCATTTCGCAAGTAGAGGATTTAAAAAATTTCAGAAGCTCTTCAGCTGCAAAGTTGAGAGAGTCAATTATATTCGAACTATTTTATGTCGCCTTTCACAAGGGTTGGAATCCTAAAAAGCTCGAAAAATTCTCTCGCAACTGCTCAGAATTGCTCAGAAGTTTTGAAAAGCTAATTTGATTTGAAGAGCATAATGTGGGTTCCCTTTTTGATGTCTCTTCAGCGTTCACGAATGGGAAAAGGTGCAACAGCGAAAAAAGAGATGTCGGAGTTAATTTTTTTGGCCTCCTCGGATTTTCACTCGAAAATGAAAATCTTTTCGAATTTTGTGTTGCATTCTGAAATTATGCAGGTATTAAACTATAGTGTTATAAGCATACATGCAATTTGCCGAATGCTACAATATATTGCTAAAAATCAAAGCAAAAAATGCAAGCAACTTCGTTACCTACCTAATATGATTCACTAAAGCATGAATCTAAGCCGTAACTCGCTCTTGAAGCCCAACCCATAACTTTCAGAAATCACTACTACTGCTCTGTTTACGCGGCACGAATGATGGTAAAGAATGGTAGTGGTCTCATCGTCAACATCAGTTCAGCGGGTGGTCTCAAGTATGATAATAAGTGTTTTTGTTCTCGTACGTAGTCATAGATTAAACTCAGATACCTATTCAACGTACCCTATGGTGTTGGAAAACAGGCATTAGATAGAATGTCTGCAGATATGGCATTTGAACTGAAGGTAGTGTGTTTTTTAGCTAGTAGATTCCATGGTATCTACTGTGCTTCGGCGGTATCGACACAGCTTGCGCGTGAAATTGCCATTCATCAAGTTGGCACAAAGGTTCTGTCACACCATTTTCAAAAATTCATAACTTTTTGGTTGTGAGGGTAATCGCCCTCTGTTGATTTTGTCCGAAAAAATCATGTTCAACATAATTTTGCCTTAGCGGCTTTCTATAGTGCACAGAATGTATTGATAGAAGCGAACAAAAAACAATCAAATTTCCCTTCGTCTAAATTTTGGCGCAAAATATCTCAATCTTGCGATAAAAATCCGAGCGATCAATATTATAGGTTTTGTTACCCTCTCTTATTGAGTAAAGTGCGCGAATTATGTGTAAAAGGTGTTTGATTCTTGGGCAAGCCGTACAAAACAGCGAAGTTGATTTTCTTGGCACTTTTACTCTCGTAAATCAAAACTTTTCGTAGAGACGCACATTTCGCCCAAACTCTCTTAGTTAGGAAGAGCAGGTAAGAGTACTTCTGCTATCGCTTTGAAATTTTATCACAAGGTTCAGATTTCTTACTCCCTAACTAAGAATAAGTAAAATTTGAGTACGTTTCTTCTATCTATGCAATCTGTGCATTACAGAAAGTCGCCAAGCCTTTATTGTGAAGATATTTCTTTTTTTTTTTGGAAAAAAATATAGAAACCAAGTACGTTCAAGAACGAAAAATTTAAATTTTTGAAAATGCGGACAGAAATTCTGCACCAACCTAATTATCAGAGCTGTAAAATGGCCACAGAGCGGTTTTGCAATCTTTCCAGAGTTTTGGCCATCTGTTTACGCGCAAGTGTTGTCATTTCCGCAGGGGCACCATATCAGCCGTCATGTCTACGTGTATGCAGTTAGCTGTCATATGTAATATATCCCAAGCTTTCCAGCCAAAGAATGTCTGCGTAGTGTCGATTTGGCCAGGTGCAGTTCGTACAGAGCTTATAACCAATATGATGGAGTCAAGAAAGGATGAGGTGCATTTGAAAACCTGCGCAATTTCTTTTGAAGATTAACGTGATGATTGTTAAGCGCACCGATATGTTCAAAGATGGCGAGACAACCGAGTATCCGGGTAAAGCCATTGTGGCTCTTGCGTCTGATGATCGAAGAATGGAAAAAACTGGACGGGTCCTAATCACTGCAGATTTGGGCAGTGAGTACGGTTTTCGAGACACGGACGGTATGTAGCCAAACATTTTTTTTTTCAAATCATCGATTAGCATGTAAATGATTGCTCAGGTCGTGACCCTCCAAATCTTCGCAGTCTTTCGTTCCTGCTCACCCATTCGGGCTACAAACAAGCTGCTCAGTGGGTGCCTTCTTGGGTAAAAGTGCCTGGATGGCTGCTGTGGGGATCGGCAAGCAGGCTGTAAGGATCGTTCTCTGTTAATAAGTTTCTCATTCTCTGAAGCAGATCAGATTTATAGTGCCACTGCTTTGAACTGATGAAGTGTCTGTAATGAATTTTCAAATGTAAATAAAATTATTTTCAAATCGATTGTCACCATCGTTGCATAATGAGTTTCTCCATAAGCAGGCACAGATAGGTATCAAAGGCTGGTTTTTGCAAAAATTGACGCCATTGAGTTGCTCTATATACGCAATTTGCTTTTTGCATATTTTGTCGAAAAAAAAAACACTGTGGCTGTGCTATCCCTCTTTCATGGCAATGGAAAAGAGAGCTGAGAAGCTTTGACAGCCCAAGTATCACTCTCTACAGGATGTCGTACAAATGTGCAAGATAAATTTTTTTTGAATTTCACAAGTCATTCCATCAAAAACAAATTTTTACTGTATCGGAAGATAGATTGGTTCAGTGTTTGCTAGGTGGCAAACACTAATTTAGTACAACAAACCTGCGAGGATCGCCAACTTTAACGTAATCGGATACGCCCTGAAAATACATGATAACATCAGCTTCCTCTGAAACTTTGCGTATTAAGGCTCAACAAACTTTTCTGCGGTTCTTAGTCTCTGAGCTTGCCCGAGCACAGTTCATTACAGTACGAGATAATTACTGAGAATAAGCCGATAGTATCTTGGTCGGATTCTTGGTCAAACATCCCTAAAATTTCAAGCTTTCATCCACATATGAATGCACTCGCAAAAAGGATTATTGGGAAGGGAATGATAGTTCTGACAATGCAACCGATAGAAATCACTAGCTGGCAAACCCGGCTCCGCCCGGCCCTGTCAATCTTATATATAAAGCTGAATGTCTGTTTGTCTGTCTGTCTGTCTGTATGTATGTCTGTCTGTACGTATGTTCCGAATAGAAAATTCCATTTCTGAACCGATCCGGACCAAGCTTGGCACACATACACTACGGGCCCCGGCGGGTGTCATAGGCTACTTTTCGTCATCGATCGATATCGATTTTATCGATTTTTATCGATTTTTTTGCTGAGTTCACCTACGGGGCTGGGAGTTGGCACAGGGGGGTAATCGAGCATGGGGATTCCGAATACAATATTGGTTTTCAGGATTATCGATTACTTTTATCGATTTTATCGATTTTTTTGCAAAGTTTGAGCTACGGAGCTGGGAGTTGGCACAGGGGGGTAATCGAGCATGGGGATTCCGAATACAATATTGGTTTTCAGGATTATCGATTACTTTTATCGATTTTATCGATTTTTTTGCAAAGTTTGAGCTACGGGGCTGGGAGTTCGCACAGGGGGGTAATCGAGCATGGGGATTCCGAATACAATATTGGTTTTCGGGATTATCGATTACTATTATCGATTTTATCGATTTTTTTGCAAAGTTTGAGCTAGGGAGCTGGGAGTTGGCACAGGGGGGTAATCGAGCATGCTGATCACCCCCAAGGGGGGTGATCAGTATGCTCGATTATACTCCTGTGCCAAATTCCAGCCCCCTAGCTCAAATTTTCAAAAAATCGATAAAATCGAAAAAGTAATGGACGATCCTGAAAACTAATATTGTGTTCGTAATCTGCATGCTCGATTACCCTCCTGTGCAAACTCCCAGCCCCGCAGGTCAAACTTTACAAAAAAAAATCGATAAAATCGATAAAAGTAATGGACGATCCTGAAAACTAATGTTGTATTCGGAATCCCCATGCTCACTTCCCCCCTGTGCCAACTCCTAGCCCTGTAGGTGAACTCTGCAAAAAAATCGATAAAAATCGGTAAAATCGACATCGATCGATAACGAAAAGTGGACTGTGACACCCGCCGGGGCCCGAAGTGTATGTGTGCCAAGTTTGGTCCGGATACGGCGGAGCCGGGTAAGCCAGCTAGTACTATATATGTAATCAGCATGCTCACTTACCCCTCTGTGCAAACTTCCAGCCCCGTAGCTCGAACTTTTTGAAAAATCAATAAAATCGACATCGATGGATGACGAAAAGTAGCCAATGACACCCTCCCGGCCCCGAAGTGTATGTGTGCAAAGTTTGGTCCGGAACGGTTCAGAAATGGAATTTTCTACTTGGAACATACGTACCACAGACAGACATACAGACAGACAGACATAAAAACAGACATTCAGCTTTATGTATAAGAATTTGTTTATGTATTTATGTTGTACGCTCTTAAGCGTGCTGTATTTCGAATTCATATTGATAACTTGACTGGTTGAATGACATCCAACATACCAACCGGAAAGGATTGCAGCCATGGTTCTGGTGCTGCATGGTGTTGGCTTCGTTGCTGGCATATTTCTACAGCATTAGAAAGAGATCATTTGTTCTGCACTGATTCCCTCGTTGTTCATTTGTAGGTAATAACAGATAGTCTCAAATAAGTAAGCTCATGATCCTGCTCAAAACTTCGTCTAAATGAGTGAATGCTGATCGCGATTATACAATAGTTTTGTAAAACGAAGTCTATCATACCTTTGATAGTCTAGAGATAGGGCCTCAAAAGTGAAGGTTGTTTGAGTATCTACCGCACACAAAAAGTAAAGGCTGTTCTTAGAAAATCGGAGAGGAGAAAAAATGCAATACAAATAGCAAATGCATGAGAAACTCTGAGAGAATTATAAGAGCTTCGCATTGAGATCACCTTTCATTTAGCGGCTTTTCGAATTGTAAGTTCTCGCTACAGGACCAGACAATTACTACAAGGGGAAAACTAGGGAAGCTACTTGTGGGTATCAGAAAGAACATGAACAAGGAAAGAATTAGAAAAATGCAAAATTTTATTTTTACTAAGCCAAAGTGCGTCAAACCCGATCTAGTTTTTGAAGCGTCCTTTAAGTAGTTTCTGTTTTCTGGGACGTTCAGCTACATTCTGCTCATAGTTCTGGGCAAGATGTCCCAAGTTTGAAAAAAAAACGTTTGTTTTCATAACTCCAATAAAGAGCTATGAACAGCAACGCACTTTTTGAAGCTTTCATCAAATATTATACCACAATCGAAGAAGTAAGCTCTGGGACGTTGTTTACTTATAGGCAAATCAAGATCCATCAAATATGAAAAAAAAAACCGAGTGGGAAGAACCAAATCAAAGAGAAAACAAGAAATCTTCAACACGGTTTTTTCCAGATTTTTTCGTTCAGCTCAAAAGGTTTGGGACGTTGTTAGCGTGAAGGTAGAGATCAGCTTCAAAATGATATAAAACTTTCTAGAATTGGGTCTAGAACAACTAAGAAAGGGGCAAAGAGCCAAATGTTCCGTTCCGCGCTTTTGGGGTAGCAAGATAGCGCGCAACGCGCGGAGACGCAGGTGAGCAGAGGGGAAGGACCAGAGCCGACGGGATATTTGGCTCTAGTCGTGGATCTCCGCGCTGCATCAGCGAAACCCTACAACATAATATATCATTTCGATCGTTTTGACACTACTAAGAGAAATGACAACGTTGCAAGCGTTAAAAACACTCATTAACCAGATAAACTAGCATTTATGCTCGACACTCTGCCCGAGACTCAAGCGCAGTTTCTCGTTTTGCTCCAGCATTCGTAAGCTTCTGAAATTCAATCGTAGTCTACAAACGGTTAACTGATAACGTTCTGAATTTTAGAACAATATCCACAGAAAACCTTCTTTTTAGCAGATAAAGGCTAGAAAGACAAATTTTGGTTTTCACTACACATCACTAGTCACTATACAAGCTTCACTTGTTCATTTCAGTTTACTTTTGAACTTAACATCCAGGGCTTCTCTCTGATCCAGTCCTCCTAGCGTACAATCATGTTATTGTACGAATCTATAACATTTTCGAAACAAACACTTTGAAACCCGTTCTTGCTTAGTGATTTTATTCATAGTGTACATTCGCACGAAATACGCCTCCTTTGAATTGCCTTTTGGAATTATGCGAGAAATACAAAGATTCGCAAGAGAGATGCCTTGGGGATCACGCATGAACTCGCACCTTACCTAGGTCTGCTCTCTGACTTAGTTTTCTTCTATGAGTACCTTAACTTCACGCGTAGAGAATTCTTTTTCTAAAATTGAGCAGCACAGACACGCCGAAGGACTTCGCGACCAAAAAGCTATTTACTGTTGCATATTGCCTGAGAGTATCGTGCAGCATAAGTCTCGTTTTCCGAAACACAACGACGTGGCTGAGCGGCACATTTGGAAAACCGAAAAAGGTGCGTCTTATACGCTCAAATTAGGGTATTGATTCCCTAAGCGGCATCTCGCTCTCGTCAAAAAGCCTTCAGCGTAACTCAAAAAGTGAGTGTCTGGCTATCTGCTATCAGGTGAGTTAGTGGTCAAACCTAAGTCTTGACACTTTGCTAGCTTCACTGCAGAGACGTTTTCAAATGGATTGCAGGTCGTGTTACTCAATTTAAGCTTTGAGGAAGGCGATCTGTCAAATGTTAGCCAATAAAGTGTAAAACAGTTCAAGATACGGCTCACGGTAAACGGAGAAGAGAGCACGCTTCAGCTGCGAACCCCTTGGCTCAGTGCGCTCTGTACACTTAGATTTGCTTAAGCACACGTCCATGTCTTACAAGGGAGAGTCACGAACTCCATAAGGTCTATCACTACAAGTTGCATGCCATTACTGAGAGCTTTGAAAGCTAATTCAGTGTCTCTGCGAAATAAATTATGAGCATTTCTAAGGAAGAAATGAGCGAATTCCCGGAACGAAATCAATTGTTACAGTCTTTTTAGACCCTAAATGAAGCAGCGGCAAGTGTTACGATACTTCACATGAGAGCTCCCTCTACCTCGTATGTCAGTACTTTTTATTGCTCTAGGTGACGTCTAGGAAGGCTTTGGCAATTGAATTCACCACGGAAATTGGTTTGTTTTTTCGCCTTAAAATTGCTCATAACTTTTTTGCTAGAGGAAATGCGCAGATAGGCATAGCACATGGAAACAGCGTTTAAGCTCTCATTAATGGTGAGCAGTTTGTGGTGAACAGCCACTTCGACTTTGTGACCTCCCCCCTCCCCCCTTGTTAGTTGATATCGTGACGATCTGCATTCTCATGATTAGGATTACATAACCTTCCGATTTTTATATTTGGTGCTGTTTTTGTGTCCATTTTTCTGCTTAAATAAAATCAAAGAGGCTTCCTTGTTTTATCCGACAACGAAAACTACTGCTTATCATAGAGCTTCCACATAGCAAATGGATGTCACTCTAAAATTCTTTATCTGTAAAGATCTACGCATAGAAAGACAATAAAAAGGGCAGAAAAACACAAAACTTTTTCATCGAAAATCTACTGAAGTTCGTTACTCCATTCGAATGATTCATTGAGCAGCTAGACCACGTGCGTTCGATATTGTCAAATTAATGCTATTCAGTCGCAAACAAAAACTGGTGGTCTTAGAATATGTCTTTTATAGATATAATAAACGTCAAACTGTACAATGACTACTGATTGACTAAAAATATCAGAGTACACTATCGACACTCGACTTATCGCATTTCTGCTCAGCGGCCGTTATGTTGCGAGTTTATCCGATTATTCGTATCGAAGGACGCAACACCGTCGAACTTATTTTCATGTACATGAGCATGGCTGACATTCTGCTCACGGGTGTCACAGCATCTATGATCTTCAAGAAAACTCCTGAGCATATGAAAAAGTACAAATATGTTACTTTGAATTTCACTGTGAGTAGCTTCCTATATTAAATTTTGTTGTTATTTCATTCTAATTCTTCCTTACCAATAAGTGAAACGTAGATTGCAAAATTTCCTTACACGAAGTAACTTCACAGAAAAGAGCCTCCTTGCTGCGGCTAGCAACAAACGTTCCTTTAAGAACCAAGGCCGAAAGGTGTTTGTTGCATTATACGGTGACCATTACGGTAACCGCAGCAATCGCCTCCAGACCTCTTCGCTGGCTTGATGCCAACATAATGGCATTGTACAGGGTGTCCCAAAAGTGCGTACCCACTAATTATCGTGCCCACCGTTATTAGGCTTTCCCCAAGAATCGCTTGTCTAGCATCAGGCATCATTCTGCATAGTTGGCTTCAACGCAAGGAAATGGTCAAAATTCGAAATGGCCAATACCAGGCAGCCGTATGCTGTTGAACACCCCATGGAAGGCTGGTTACGTACCTGCTTTCGGTATCTGCTTATCGGTCTCCTACACGAAGTTATGGCCCTGGGTTCCATTGTTGGGCCGCAGGTACTTATGATGCGGCGGCCCAGCGATGGAATTGAGGGCCATAACTTCGTGTAGGACCGATAAGCAGATACCGAAAGCAGGTACGTAACCAGCCTTCCATGGGGTGTTCAACAGCATACGCCTGCTTGGTACAGGCCACTTCGAATTTTGACCATTCCTTTGTTAGATTTATGAAGCGAGCTACCAATCGCCTTGATTTGCTGTAAAATCACTGCAGGAACTTTGAAGAGCGTTTTGAGCCATATGGAAGGCCATATTCTAAACGAAAAAAAGAACAAAACGGCCTGAAAATTCTCACAGGCTAATTGGAGATGTTGATTCTAACTATAAAGTTCTACATCCCTTTTCCCTTCATTCATATAATCTAAGCATCGGTGTGCCGTCACAACTGCGGGCCGATTGCGTTTTATGTCTGGGATTTGAGAGGTCGAATTCACGTTGGATTGCATTTCTTGGAAAAATTGAAGACACAAGTCGCGTGAAGATCGATCTTCAAATTGTAAGACACGCTAAATTATGTAAGCGAGAGAGCCGCATTGCTGGCAGTGGATTTGTTGCACGTATCCTTGAGATGACTCAAATGATTAAACGTTTGGCCATTACGTGCGAATGCGCTATGCTTCAGGGTGTAAGTTTGTATATTTGTCCCTGATTGTTCACTGGTTTGTTGTTCAGAGTGCTAGAATCATAAATGTATACAATTTGACCAGTCGTTTCACTTGTCGGTGCATCCAAAAGTAATGGCAAGCGGTAGTAGGCGGCAGCCGCTACAAGGGAGCAGCTAACCTTAGCATTTGCACTTCATTCGTTAGGGATAGAGGTATTTGGTTTCAGCACGGGCGAGCAGTGAGAACAGGCATGAAGTTGCTGGAGTCACTAATCGGACACAATCGCACACGTGTCATTTTTTACAAACATCCTCGGGTAAAGTGCTTGCAGGCAGAAAAGTGACATCCTTGGATGTGGTTTATGAACTGTGCACATAACGCTATTCGCAAGCTACAAATCGTCACATAGCTCGATCAGCATTACACACATACTTTACTGAGACACTGGATTCGAAAATTCGATTGCTTTAGATAAGATTTTCCGTTTTTTCTGCTCTCATCCCCTTATCCAAAAATTTTCGCCAGAACTCTTCATCATTGCTCGATTCCTTTGCGCATAGCAATCTCAATACTCTTGCTGACTGAAAGAGAACAGTAACAGAAACAAGGAATACACTCACAAAGATTCGTAGATCTGCCAGACCGTGTACTATGTTATTTCCGGAAATAAATTACAAAAAATAAAATAGGCATTTGATGCGACTTAGTGAAATCACTAAATCAGCATTCGATGTATTAGGTTGCTGCATAGGTTCTGTCCGATTTCAATTTTTTGAACTCAAAATGTCATAACTTCTTTCAAAGTTAACTTTTTTCAGAGATCTTATTATTAGTTTCTTTCGTGTTCTTTTGTGTTAAGCAGTTTCTTGGCTATCAGAAACATGTTAAGAACTGCAAAAATCCTTGTTAACACGTTTCGGACCGGTGCTGCACATGGTGCAGCACGCGGCTTTGAAGAATCCTTTTAACGTTTACGTTTACAGTAGGTTTTCTTTTTGTCCAAGGTTATCGGGTTAAAGGCCTAGGCTCCTATTTTTCAAATAACTCTGTAGAGTTGTGCCGCCAATATTTGTTTAGGAGATATGGGGACAAATCGAACAACAATTGCAACGAAGTGCGGCAACGCGAACGACTGCGACGTCGCAACTTCTCTTTGCTTCAAATTCAATGAGAAAAACCGTAATTTCAATAATGGGTATCGTGTAGAACATAGATACTTTTGGATACAATTAGAAACTGAGTTCTTGTTTCTCTCCTTCAAGAAAGCACGAAGTCCTTCTCAAGCGACAAAATTTAAACACTTCGAATTCATATAAATTTGGGTATTGATCTTATCTGACATGCTGATTACAGATATAGCACACAGTCTGCGAAATAAGGTCTCTCTGTTGGCTAACGGCTGAAAGTACCCTCTTTTTCGTCGCGCGCGATTTCGCGGTTCGAAACGTGTTAAGGAAGAAGCAAGAACTCAAGAACTTCACAGGGTTTTTCTTATGTCTTTTTTGACATGGCAATGCTCCCTTATAAGAATTGATAGGCATCTCATCCAACAATGGATAGATAGAGAAAATTGTAGATTATTCCGCATCCTAAAAGAACCCATAGGGTCTGCGTTGCCGAAAGATTTTTTTGACCGAGCAAAAAAAAGCCACTTTTTGACCTCGCTTCAGCGCATGTGTGCACGCCTATTTACGAATTATGAATTTTACAATTGATGTAAGCGCCGAAAAGGCGCTACTTTACTTCTAGTCGCAGAAAGCTATTGTTTGCAAAACATCTATACAAAAAAGTAATGTTCGACAATAAATTTTACAAGTAAGACGTTTTCTTCATGAGCTTGTGCATATACTAGTCTTCAACACCCTTACTGCAGCAACCTAATACGTTGTTTTCCCTAGGTTTGGTTCCTTCAAAATGCCTTTGCTGTACGCGTACTCTTTAAAAAATAAGGTTTATTCGATGAGCGTACTTTCAGGTCACTACCTTTCTAGCTGATTTTATCATCTGTTTTTTGTTCGACCCAATCCCGATGTTTCCGGATGTAGCCTGCTTCTCCAAAACATTTCTGGCTAACGTTCATGAAAGCGCCAATTATGTACTGTTGGTCAGTATTTGTTGAAGTGTGCTTGGCATTTTGCTAATCGAGTATAGAATTGCTGATGGAAAATCATGCCTTTTGGTGTTTCATAAAGATCGACTTTCGGAATCAAGAACGTTTCAGAGCATCTCGATTGTTATGTTGCAACTTACACTAAGCTCTACTCTTGTCGCATTTATTCACCGAATGAAGTGTGTAGTGTTATCCGGTCCTCTGCATTACCTCACCTTACCTGGACTTGGCATGCTTCAGACAACAGGCTTAATTTATGCAATCAGCTTGCTTCCAATTGTCACATCGCTTTCCGTTTACCACAAGACAAAAGAACAAATCGATGATGTGGTCAAGGTGAGCTTGATAACACTGCAAAATTACGTCTTCTGACATTCCAGAGAACACCAAGTCTACAAAATTTGACAATGTATAATTCATATCTCGCTGTTGATAGAGATGATCCACATTTCATCATATTTGTAACCATATGGTTATCTTCTGCTTTTATCATAGTAGCATTGTGTGGAGTAGTCGCAGTAGTGATCATTGTATATCTTCATCACAGAAGGCGATTTATGAGTCGAAAAAGTCATACGTTGCACCGAGATCTTACACTTCTCCTGTTACTCCAGGTGGGTCACTCAATTTGCTATAGAGCATAATCCTTCACCTGCCTTAAGAAACTGCAAAAATGAAGTCGTAGAGGATTGCGCATCATAGCCCAGCTGTTATCAACTCAAATCACACATCCGTAGTCATAATTCCAACTTCTATACTGGATCTACTCACTTTCTAATAGATAGCGGCAATATGATCTGCTAATTTTGATGGAGAAAATTACGCTGTTTTTGTCGAAAACAAACTGGTAGCCAGAAAACAAAGCTGTTAAATCTTTGTCGCTTAGTTTGAGTTTTCTGCTGAATTTCGAATTTCCAAATTCCAATGATAGAAAAGCAAGAGACCAGTAGTCTGTTATTAGTTACAAGAACGACTGATAATGACCCTGAAAATTTTCAAAGTTTTAAGACGTAAGCGTGTGCAGCCTGACAGTATAGGTGATATGACACGTCGAGCCTCACTCATCGAAAAATTGGAAAACTCGCATACGAACCATGCAACATCAGTCAGGTTTTCGAAAACAGGACCAAACTAGAAGCTGATCCAGGGTTTTTGGAAGCAGCACAGAATTAAGTTTGGCTTGGTACAATCGTAGCATCCCTCTTTCAAAAATACATGCCACTAGAGGGACAAGTGGTATAGGAGGAATAATTTGGCTAATTTAAATTATGACCCATGGAAAGCAGATGCCGCATCAAAGGTTTCAGATCAGGAGAAAATCAGGAATTTCCATTTTCAGATTATAATACCTGTAATAACTACATTCATTCCTCTTTTGGTATTATTTTCCACACGTTTCGCTCACGTTCCATTCGGTGCCAAATGTAAGCTAGATATTCTAGTTATTCCTTTTCACTGCGTTTTTTATAGTTTGGAACCTAATTATCTCGCAGACTGTTGCTCTCCACAGTCCACTGAGCAGTATCGGTGTTTTGATTACAACTCCGCCATATCGACGCATGCTGTCTAGGTATTTCCACCATGTAGGAGAAGTGATGCAAGGAAGAGTGGCTCCTACCACCACATCCATCATTAGAATAGACAGCAATATTTCGTCGCAGAGATCGCGAAGAACACAGAGATCGCAGAGATAAAGTTGCAGTTCAATATTGTGAAGAAGTACAATGCAGTTGTATACCGTCTCTACCGTCTCTTGATGCGGAGCCATACTATAATAGCATCCATTACCAAGCGAGTGCGGCTTTGATGAGCAAACGTGAAAAGCCTTTAGCTGAAAAACTGCACAAGCCCCAATACGACACGTGCTTCAAACAGTGGAGTTTCTCCACAAGCGGGATGGAGGTTACACTCTGTCTCATCCGCAGTTTACGAATGTGATACAGAGCCCTAGCAAGGCGGTTGCGGGGTTCGATTCGCTCTTGCAGACGCCACTATCAGTAAGACGGATATCTCGTTCACTACAGTCGCAGGGCATCTCCATTCTACAGAGTGCACCAGAGTTTGCGTGTTTTTGTAGTGCCAAGTTCTAGCAAAACGAGATCGGTGGGAGATAAAAATCTATCTTGTTTCGATAACGCTTTACATTGATACCTTAGTATGATTCTAATTTTCCAACTATGGCGCCAGAAAATTCAGAGACATCTTGCCGACAATGTTGTGCGCAACACCGCAACACCTGTGGCTCAAAAACTGACCTGTCTCTTCAAGTAGATAGCTCCTTTTGTTCAAAAAAACATATAGCATGATAGAAAACTACAAGTGATAGCATGATGAAACTACAACTAAAGTACAAACTCAATCCAGAAAATCTTCTTTGGATGCGAAGCTAGAAGTGGCCTCTTCCTTCTTTGTCAGCTTTCCACAGCTACTGTAAAGATACTGTATATGGCAGTATGCGTGATTTTATCTCGAAAATGCTGACTGAAACGAGAATGGTCTTGGTCCCAAGAGGCAGACAATCAAAAATTTGCGTTGTCGTCATTGTGTTAAAGATACTTGGTATAGATACACACCCCTGTATATCACATCAAAAATTCATACGGCTATGCATAGCCATTCATGCTCAATCTGGACCATAAGTCAAAAGCTTGTTTTCAGTCTTCCAAATGCTCCTTGAGTCCACATTTACTACGCGTTTTTCCATTCGTATGAGACGATTTTCTGCTTATAATGCCGAAAAATACACGTAATTTTTTATGTTTATAATCTATATATATATATATATATAAAACTCAAACACTGTACCGTGTTTGTTAGGATGTTTGTGGCTTATAGACTCCTTTGTATGTGAACCAAAGAGGCTGAATTTTGTTTCCCTAAAAATGAGACACGGCGCATAAGATGGGCTACTTTTTTCGACAATTCGCTGGGTCCTTCTATCGATTTATTGATTTTGTTTACTAAAATCTAGGAAAATGAAGGCTATACCATTCATTTCTCCAACTTAAGTAGTAAGGGGTGGTAGAGATCATTTACATTTTGCGGTGAGGAGCATGCGGTGTCATGAAGCGAGCCGGTCAAGAAAGAAGGCTATTCACCACGGATACTACACGAGCGCTGGAACTGACAAGGAGGTGAAGCAGGAGAGTCACAGAAGATGTGAACTGAAGAAAGTGGAGGACTGGTAAGTATACATCTTGAAGCACACCCTATGCTGGGCCATTCTGGACTCTCGGCCCGGGCGGGACCGGGGACCGCAGCTAGTCTGTTAAAAAGTGCATACTCTGGTGCATTATTGTGATGACTTTCCAATCTTTTTTCTTGCTCGAGTCAATTGCTCAAAGAGTAATGAAAACAACGCACACAATATCGCCGTAACCAGATGCGGCAAAAGTAGTAAAGAAATTGCAAAGAAATCATCAGAAAATCCTTCTCAAGGAGATTTTTGTCCATACTTCCTTTTTCCATTAACTCTTTATTCCACATAGTAGGAAGAGTAGTACAATACCGCTTATAATTTCTGCAAAAAGAAACGCGATGCCATCCGCGTTAAGTGATATTACGCATAGCCATACTCGCTTCAGAGTGCACGAATTCTATATCCAAAGGCACCATTCCACTCAACTCGCTCAGCGCGGCGAACTTTCTGACTTAGACCTGTCTATCCGAGTATTTTTTATAGATCTTTTTGCAATTAGAATGGGTTAGTGAGCGGGCTGATTTTGTTGTATATTGTTTCCAACCAAAGTCGACATCTGAAAAGATTGTGAAAGATGCCTAATTACCACAGACCAACATCCTCAAACAAGCACTACATATGAGAACATGCGCCGCGCTAAATTACGTGTATGATGTGTTATTCAGAATTCATTCATCCAAAGCAGAGGATGCGGCGCTAATGTCATCTGACTCAGTTTGTGTGCGTCTTTTTTGCAAGTATGAACGAGATTGTGGATTATGTAATGCAGTACGTTTTCTATCGCTTTAGAAAAATCTTTCGATAAAGAAAATACAACCTTCAGGATGGAAACAGAAAACATTCGGAGCGAAGCCCGAATAGTCTACAGGAAGAATTAGCTGTGTTCTAGTCAAGGAATCTTAAGCTAAAACGGAAGGGCATGTAAAGTCGCCGGGCTCCTTTTGTTCTTCTGTACTTCTCTACCGTGTTTATCTAGTCCGTTAATCGAGTAGGTACATGGTGTTTTAATGGTTTTGCTATGTTTTGGTTGTATCATGTTGGGACGAGGCGATGGAGCGCGTGCACTTCTTCTCAGGCTGCTACATAAGGCCGCCCCGCTTGGCTCAGATCAGTTTGGACGCACCGATCGCCTGGGATCGCTCTTCGCATCATACCCCTAGACACCACGCCGAGCCCCCGCGATAGTGCCTACCTAGGCCAACTATTGCGCGACAGAGTACCATATGTCGAAAGGCGCGTGTTTCGACAGCTATCAGTATCAGACTGTATTCAAAACGAGATTTTTAGATTCCAAAAGCTGCGCCAGTGTATCAGAAAGTGTAGAGGAGGATCGCGTAAACGAATTTTGAAAACAATTAGACTCGAACTTGTTCCCTTACTTCCTCAGTTAGGCCCGTATGCACTAACATCCCTGCGACGAGGAGAGAGGCGTCCTCAGTGATGAAAAAGCCGCAGGGGCGTTTGCCTGCGGCGCCTTCAAAACGGGGTACGACGCTTCCCTCGCCGCAGGGATGTTAGTGCATACAGTCTGCTCCAACCGGGATCAGGCCGAAGTCGATTTGCTCGCAGTGCGTATGCGCGCTGTAGGAGAAAGCAAACGGATTGAAGAGAGAGAGCAGAAAAGCAGGCCGTGGGCGTGACCGCAAAACCCTAGCGACGCAGACTCGCCATGCCAATATTGGCCTCGTTGGGATTGGGGCAGACTATACGAGCCTTACAAGGGAAGGAAGGATGGTCGAAGTCGCCTTTAGGGCCGCACGCACTAACATCCCCGCTGGGGAGGGGATCGCAGCTCAGAAACAACGCTTCATATCCTGAAGCTCCAGATATCTGGATCAAACGCTGTTTAGCTATCCGTTATTCCTACCTACCTTCACTATGAACATATTGAACAGGAGCGAGAAGCTCTACAAGCCGCATTTTCCAGCAGTTTGTATGATCCCCTGATGATCCTCTGCGGCCGATGGTCTTTTCTTCAAAGTCACTTTTTTTTCTTCGAAGTTGAAAAAAATCCTCCAAAGTTGTACTGAACATCTAACACATTAGTGCTAAACTTGTTGCTGATAAGAACAGGAGTTTTTGAAAACCGAATTTTTCGATAAACCCCAACATTCGACTTGTGGTTCATCGCAAATTTCATGACTCCAATTCATTACTTGTTCTTATCAACAACATGCTTAGCAGTGTTGGGCTAGATGAACGGTACAGCTTTGGAATGTTTTCGCTAACTTTGAAAAAAGAAAAATGACTTTGAAGAAAAGACGGTTGGCCGCCAGGGATATCAGGGGATCACACGAAGTGCTAGAAAATGTGGCTTGTACAGTTTCGGGTTGTTTCAGACTGCCGCACTGACTGCAGCAGACCGCAACGGCCGCAGCATGTTCGCGTAGGAAGAGCGACTGCGAGCAAAGTGGGCAAGCAAAGTAGAAAATTCTCCGTTATTTACATTGAAGGAACCCCTTTTCACTTTACATCTTTGGCAATCAGTTAATAAATCTGATCTTGATATATTCCATATCAATTCAAGAGAAACATAAGCATCATTAAAACATGCAGACCTAGATATTTAGTGAAAGTACCGAGAATGAATAAATTTTAGCAATGAGTCACAACTAAAGTACTCAACACTCTAAGTCGCAAGGCGTTAAACAAACTAATAGCCAAAGGAAAGATACGAGGCATTCTGGTTGCGTTCAGGGCCCGGCACGAAGTAGGCAAATGACAAGCTGGAAATCGTTTTGGGGCCAAAAAGCAAAGGGGATATCGTTTTTGCGGGATGCGGGGCGGAGCCCCGGAAGAAGATTCCAAGTGCAAGCAAAAGAAGGTCGAATCATGCTTACCTTATACATCTAATTCATCTGAAAATAGTTTTCATAAACCTCAACGCACAGCAGATTCGCGCGCACTACGCCGCGTTGCCGCTAACTGCCGCGTGCGCGACGTCGCATGAGCGATGCCGTTGAACAGCATGATTACATCATCAGTTCTCAATGCAGGCGTAATGATATAGCACCAAATTACGTAAGCGAACAAGGAGAGGCTAGTAGAAACAAAGCATGAAATGTTATGGAAAACTTATGTGAATGGGAGGAGTAATAAGCATTTTTTCCAAAAATTTCGCAAAACTGGTAAATGAAGATGTGAATTCAAATGGCTCGTTTGCAGCGCACAGATGACCATACGGTATGAAACTTGGTAGGTACATGAACACGGGCCTGCAGGGCTTATCTTAGAAGTTTCATTGAAAAATTATGTGAATAAAGGTTGTGGCAAGCTTTTTTCTGATAATTTCCCACTATCAAGAAAATGGAAAAATGGCTCGTTTGCAACGCAGAGAAAACGAAATCGCGCGAGACTTGGTGTGTATACGC